ATTCGTTGAACGTTTCGTACAACCTTGAACTGTCTTTTTTTTTTCTATTTTATTTATTTTCGCTTACGCTGCATAAAAATATCTCATCATAGTTTCAAAAATGAATCATAGCTTAAAATTAATTCTAGTAAGAGCAAGGAAATGGATAAATATTCTTTTTTCTTTTACACCACTGAATATTTTATGTAACTGTAATACACATTTTTCTACCAAAAATTATACACATAATTGATTTTATCAAAAATAGCACATAACAAAACAAAAGAAGTTTCAGAGCATTAATGCTTTTGAACAAAGATTATAATCATTTAAAAAAAGAACAATACATATGTATATATTATTTTGAGTTCTCACTTTCGCTTCTAAGTAAACAACGTTATACGCATTAGCTTAAAACAAGTCAGCATATATTTAAAGAACATGGAAAATAATGTAAACTGTATATTATACTACTGTTTAGCAAATGACATTTCTTAAAATAAGAAAAAGATTTCTTAATTCAATGAGAACAGTTTATAAAATTTGCATAGGAATGTACAAAATGTTTTCTAATACTGAACAATGAGACAATATTTTAAAAATTAAGAATTTAACTAATAAATTCTTTGGGATATTAAACCCAATTTGCACTTGGGCATGCAAATGAAACGAGTATTAAAAGTATAAAAATTTAAAGAAAATTCAAGATAAAAGCTTTACCTGTTCTACGGGTGAGAACTGAATAATTAAACCATATAAGTTGAACAACATTAGTGCTGTTAACCTGAAAATTAATACCGAGCAATGGCCAAGCTTCTTTCTGCAACTATTACACGTTGGGCGTCAAATTATGACGTGGTGGGCGCCAAATGATAAGGGACAGACGGGAAAGGGTTCTTTACTAAGTTCACCTGTTATTAAAACACGTTTATTAGACAAAACAAACACATTTACATACATAACTAGAGAACTAACAGTTGACATAGAATTGAAAGGGATCGGAGCGCATGCTCTTTACGTCCTTACAGTTCCGAAACTTGGCCATCACTGAATATTGTTCTGTTCGCTAGAGGGCGCGAAAGTCTCTTTACTGTTAATATGGAAGAGTCTAAATAACGGGGGGTTACACAAGTAATTATGTCCTTAAATTCGAATTGTTTTAAATCTTTTAAGACTTAAAATAATATTTATGAATATATATATATATATATATATATATATATATATATATATATATATATATATTGATAATTAAATTAATTAAAAATTAAATTCCTATATAGCACCCTTTACTTTTATTTTTTTCCCCCCACCTTGTCAAAATATCAAACTTATCACCCATTTATTTCTTCCTAACATATGGCCTAGCCAATAAGCATGTCTAATTCCAGATCATTATATTTAATAGCCCTATATGCCAGCATTAACTTTCAAGAGCACTCATGAACGCCGCGATCGTGTTTTAAGTGTTTAACCCACTTAAGATTTTAGGTGGCGTTCTTTTTTCTCTCTCTGCCTCTTGCGTCAGAAGAGATGTACTCATTCTAGAATAAAGACCTTTTTTAAAATGAAGTCTGTTTCTGACTCCAAAAATCATATCATATATATATAGAGAGAGAGAGATGTGGCACTTTCTATTTTTGTCCGGGGCGGCAAAACTGCCAGAGCCGACCCTGATAGAATGCCTAATGAGAAACTGGTAAAGTATGAAATACATCTTAGATCCGTTTCAAATATTACGTGGCAGGACACGAGACTTTTAACACGTGCCTCAGCGCCTGAATTTGTCCGTTTAACTTTGTGATTAATTCGGGAGTATTAAAATACTCAATTTTACTTAAATTCATTCAATAAAAATTGGTTTTTTCCTGCGCTGCTCTGAGTGAGCCCCGAATCAAAAATTCGTTAGGGGCTCATTTTTGAAAAATAAATAAAAATGATAGCATTAATAAAACTTATTGGAAAGTGTCAAAATAAGTATACATAGACATATGTACTGAAAAACTTTATTACTTAAGAACTAGCTTATTGTTTGTTGTTTAATTGGTGCTTTTCTCGATTTCTTTTTCAAGAAACACATCTACACTATTAAAACTCGAAGGTAAGCAAACGTATCTATCTATGCGACTAGGTGTATCTTCTTATGAACCGCACGACGCAGAAACTCGCCGTAGGTACCCAATGATCGGGAATGATCCGAGGAATCCGTTTTGGCCATTTATATTACAATATTGCAATTAGTTAAAAAGATATTAATTAAAAACCTTAAAACGCACAATTATTTTACCCGTGACCATTTTTTTCCCGCCGAGTGGCGAAGTTCAAATTTTTCGACCTTTTTTTTTATTCCAGACGTTTTTAAAACACGATCTAATTTTTTTTATGAGACTCAGACAAAAGATAATTAAAGAATCGGAAAGATAGTTATTTCGCCATGATACGGAAAAACTTATTTTTACAAAAGAATGACATTTTCTATTTTTTACGATTTTTTCTAAAATGAGTCTAAATCGATAGTTGAATAGTTCTAAATCATTCCGTTTGAAGTTTCTTTCGCTTTAATGAAATGATATGCTACACTAAAAAAGTTCATGCTTTTCTCTTTTAGAATCAGCCATTTAAAAAATAAAATGTCAAAACCTTTTTTTTTTTTTTTTGATTTTTTAAAAAATTCTCAAATTTTTAATTAAGTACTTAATACCTCCGTGGTTTACAAAAATAATCTTACGAAACTTTTTTTCCGTGTGTAGAACAATATTATCTAAAATTTGCACAAAGACTGAAAAAATTACCAGAAAATTACGTTTTTAAAAGATTTTTTGTGTTTTTCGTTTCTTACCCTCTTTGCGAGAGTCAATCACACACACACAATGTAGTATTTATTTTATTTTTTTCTTGTTTAAAAATTACCGTAGTTTGCAATCCATATATGTAGTTTGAAGGCATTAACTTAAAAATGCAGGCCTCACAAAAAATTAAAACTTTAACAAAAACCGCAAATTTACAATAGCCAAGGATTTGGCGGCGAAAACCTGTCTGGCTCTAAATGACTTTTGCCCGTACAAGTCACGTTTGATGAAAGGTTACACTAGAAAAGAAGATGCATATAAATAATGAAAATCACCAGATTTGGTGAAATTGAATATCTCTTCCTTTTATTTTAAAGGTCTTTTCGGTTCTATTGCCGAGAATTTCGTAGCGTCTTTAGCAAAAGTGCTTGATTACTACCGTTTGTACCTGGGTTCGAAACAACAACATCGTTTAACTTTTATGATTTTTTAAAGAGATACTCACAAAATTTTATTCGCGCATTTAATAATTTCACCAGCAATTTTGTAATTGAAAAGATAATTTATTTCGCCACGATACAGAATGTTTTTTTTTTTTTTTGCAAAACAACGATACACGATACTTTACACATTTTATGATTTTTTCTAAAATAAATCAATATCGAAGCCTTTATATGAAAATGATTTTTAAGAAACTCATACTTTGATCTTTAGAGTTAGTGAATTAAAAAATAAAATAACGAAAACTTTTTTTTTACGAATTTATAAAAACTACTGAAATTTTAAATATTTAATAACTACTGATCAAATTCAAATTTTTCGTAACTTCTTCATTTATAAAAATAATTGCATAAAACTTTTTCCCACAGTGTATCGAACATTTCAAAAAACGCTCACAATTTTAATTCAACACTGAATGTAGTTGTGAAATTTTGTAATTATAAAAATATCTACTTTTTTTTTAAACGTAGAACTATTTTTAAGAAGGTACATTTTCGTTTCCGAGGGCTAAACAGTCGCAAAAGGGAGTGAGTGAATATTAAAGTCCCACTGTTCACCTACTCGAGAGCTTTTGGCGATGCACCTCGACATTTTGAACCATGGTCAAGTGAAGAGGATAAGACTTGAGTTGGCACCCATCTCATCTAACTATCACACCACACCTACGCTAGGACGCTCGAACATTTCAAAAAATGCTCCCAATTTTAATTCAACATTTAATACAGTTGTGGAATTTTGCAATCATAAAAATTTCGACTTTGTCTTTTTTCAACAAACAAATATTTTTAAAAAAAAGCACGTTTTTGTTTCCAGGAGCTAAAAATTGCTAAGTGAGGGAGCGAATATTGAAGTCGCACTGTTCACCTACTCGAGAGCTTTTGGCGATGGACTTCGAAATTTTTAACCATGGTCAAGTGACGAAAATGAGACTTGAGCTGACATCCATCTCTCCTAAGTACCTTACCACACCAACGTTAGGAGTTTAAGCTCACGACAGATTCAACGTGTATCTCTCCTCTTAACAGCTGGTCTTCAGTGGTAGCCAAAATTTTAAAACAGCAGTAATAATTAATTGTGGGAAATTACCACGAGAATTTTGTAATGACGTAAACATAGAAATCACACACACATCAGGAAGGGCTGATAGCCAGAGGGAAATTTCCAGGACAATGTGCCATGCATTCACAAATATTCGTGAAGGAACCTGTCTGATAAAGAAAAGAAGAGAAAAGCGTTCAAAACAGGTACTTTTGAGTTGTACACTCGGTAAAGGCCCGAGCAACGCCGGGATAAGCGGAAAGGGTAAAAAGAACAAAGTAATTTTTAAAAAGAATATTGGAAAAGCTGATTTTGTGAAGGGAAGGACAAGGATTTCTCTCCTTTGTTGTAAATTTCACAAACAGTATTGTTTGTAGATACAAGTATGAAAAACTTCTCTCTATTCCTTTAAAACAATCGAGCCATTCTACCACTGAACCACCGATGCGCCGGTTGCATGTTTTCTTCACGCTTTCCTTCGCATTGCAATCGCTCGACTGCACTCAAAGAAATCTATTGCCGAAACAAAATAAGAATTGCATTGGCCGGAAATCGAACCCGGGCCGCCCGCGAGGCAGGCGCGCATTCTACTGAACCACCGTTGCGCCGGTTGCATGTTTTCTTCACGCTTTCCTTCGCATTGGAATCGTTCGACTGCACTCAAAGAATCTTGTGCCGAAACAAAATAGGAATTTCATCGGCCGGGAATCGATCCGGGCCACCGAGCGTAGACCGGCAGCATTCTACCACTGAACCACCGATGCGCCGGTTGCATGTTTTCTTCACGCTTTCCTTCGCATTGCAATCGCTCGACTGCACTCAAAGAAGTCTGTGCCGAAACAAAATAGAATTGCATCGGCCGGGAATCGATCCGGGCCGCGAGCGTAGCCGGCAGCATTCTACCACTGAACCACCGATGCGCCGGTTGCATGTTTTCTTCACACTTTCTTTCGCATTGCAATCGCTCGACTGCACTCAAAGAAATCTAGTGCCGAAACAAAATAAAATTACATCGGCCGGAATCGACCGGGCCCACCCGCGGAACGGCGCGCATTCTACCACTGAACCACCGATGCGCCGGTTGCATGTTTTCTTCACGCTTTCCTTCGCATTGCAATCGCTCGACTGCACTCAAAGAAGTCTTGTGCCGAAACAAAATAGGAATTGCATCGGCCGGGAATCGATCCCGGGCCGCGAGCGTGGCTGGCGAGCATTCTACCACTGAACCACCGATGCGCCGGTTGCATGTTTTCTTCACGCTTTCTTTCGCATTGCAATCGCTCGACTGCACTCAAAGAATCTAGTGCCGAAACAAAATAAGAATTACATCGGCCGGAAATCGACCCGGGCCACCCGCAGAAGCGGCGCGCATTCTACCACTGAACCACCGATCCGCCGGTTGCATGTTTTCTTCACGCTTTCCTTCGCATTGCAATCGCTCGACTGCACTCAAAGAAATCTAGTGCCGAAACAAAATAAGAATTACATCGGCCGGAAATCGACCCGGGCCACCCGCGAAGCAGGCGCGCATTCTACCACTGAACCACCGATCCGCCGGTTGCATGTTTTCTTCACGCTTTCCTTCGCATTGCAATCGCTCGACTGCACTCAAAGAAATCTAGTGCCGAAACAAAATAGGAATTACATCGGCCGGAAATCGACCCGGGCCGCCCGCGAAGCAGGCGAGCATTCCACCACTGAACCACCGTTGCGCCGGTTGCATGTTTTCTTCACGCTTTCCTTCGCATTGGAATCGTTCGACTGCACTCAAAGAAATCTAGTGCCGAAACAAAATAAATTACATCGGCGGAAATCGACCGGGCCACCCGCGAAGCAGGCGCGCATTCTACCACTGAACCACCGATCCGCCGGTTGCATGTTTTCTTCACGCTTTCCTTCGCATTGCAATCGCTCGACTGCACTCAAAGAAATCTAGTGCCGAAACAAAATAAAATTACATCGGCCGGAAATCGACCCGGGCCCCCGCGAAGCGAGGCGCGCATTCTACCACTGAACCACCGATCCGCCGGTTGCATGTTTTCTTCACGCTTTCCTTCGCATTGCAATCGCTCGACTGCACTCAAAGAAATCTAGTGCCGAAACAAAATAAGAATTACATCGGCCGGAAATCGACCCGGGCCACCCGCGAAGCAGGCGCGCATTCTACCACTGAACCACCGATCCGCCGGTTGCATGTTTTCTTCACGCTTTCTTTCGCATTGCAATCGCTCGACTGCACTCAAAGAAGTCTTGTGCCGAAACAAAATAGGAATTGCATCGGCCGGGAATCGATCCCGGGCCGCGAGCGTGGCTGGCGAGCATTCTACCACTGAACCACCGATGCGCCGGTTGCATGTTTTCTTCACGCTTTCTTTCGCATTGCAATCGCTCGACTGCACTCAAAGAAATCTAGTGCCGAAACAAAATAAGAATTACATCGGCCGGAAATCGACCCGGGCCACCCGCGAAGCAGGCGCGCATTCTACCACTGAACCACCGATCCGCCGGTTTGCATGTTTTCTTCACGCTTTCCTTCACATTGCAATCGCTCGACTGCACTCAAAGAAATCTGGTGCCGAAACAAAATAAGAATTACATCGGCGGAAATCGACCCGGGCCACCCGCGAAGCAGGCGCGCATTCTACCACTGAACCACCGATCCGCCGGTTGCATGTTTTCTTCACGCTTTCTTTCGCATTGCAATCGCTCGACTGCACTCAAAAAGTCTTGTGCCGAAACAAAATAGAATTGCATCGGCCGGAATCGATCCGGAGCCGCGAGCGTGGCTGGCGAGCATTCTACCACTGAACCACCGATCCGCCGGTTGCATGTTTTCTTCACGCTTTCCTTCGCATTGCAATCGCTCGACTGCACTCAAAAGAAATCTAGTGCCGAAACAAAATAAGAATTACATCGGCCGGAAATCGACCCGGGCCACCCGCGAAGCAGGCGCGCGGATTCTACCACTGAACCACCGATCGCCGGTTGCATGTTTTCTTCACGCTTTCCTTCGCATTGCAATCACTCGACTGCACTCAAAGAAATCTTGTGCCGAAACAAAATAAGAATTACATCGGCCGGAATCGACCCGGGCCACCCGCGGAACAGGCGCGCATTCTACCACTGAACCACCGATCCGCCGGTTGCATGTTTTCTTCACGCTTTCTTTCGCATTGCAATCGCTCGACTGCACTCAAAAAGTCTTGTGCCGAAACAAAATAGGAATTCATCGGCCGGAATCGATCCCGGGCCGCGAGCGTGGCGGCGCGCATTCTACCACTGAACCCCGATCCGCCGGTTGCATGTTTTCTTCACGCTTTCCTTCGCATTGCAATCGCTCGACTGCACTCAAAGAAATCTAGTGCCGAAACAAAATAAGAATTACATCGGCCGGAAATCGACCCGGGCCACCCGCGAAGCAGGCGCGCATTCTACCACTGAACCACCGATCCGCCGGTTGCATGTTTTCTTCACGCTTTCTTTCGCATTGCAATCGCTCGACTGCACTCAAAGAAGTCTATGTCGAAACAAAATAGAATTGCATCGGCCGGGAATCGATCCGGGCCCGAGCTGAGCTGGCGAGCATTCTACCACTGAACCACCGATGCGCCGGTTGCATGTTTTCTTCACGCTTTCTTTCGCATTGCAATCGCTCGACTGCACTCAAAAGAAATCTAGTGCCGAAACAAAATAAAATTACATCGGCCGGAAATCGACCCGGGCCACCCGCGAGAGCGAGGCGGCATTCTACCACTGAACCACCGATCCGCCGGTTGCATGTTTCTTCACGCTTTCCTTCGCATTGCAATCGCTCGACTGCACTCAAAAGAAATCTAGTCCCGAAACAAAATAAAATTACATCGGCCGGAAATCGACCGGGCCACCCGCGAAGCGGCGGCATTCTACCACTGAACCACCGATCCGCCGGTTGCATGTTTTCTTCACGCTTTCCTTCGCATTGCAATCGCTCGACTGCACTCAAAGAAATCTAGTGCCGAAACAAAATAGGAATTACATCGGCCGGAAATCGACCGGGCCGCCCGCAGAAGCAGGCGGCATTCCACCACTGAACCACCGTTCGCCGGTTGCATGTTTTCTTCACGCTTTCCTTCGCATTGAATCGTTCGACTGCACTCAAAGAAATCTAGTGCCGAAACAAAATAGAATTACATCGGCCGGAAATCGACCCGGGCCGCCCGCGAAGCAGGCGGCATTCTACCACTGAACCACCGATCCGCCGGTTGCATGTTTTCTTCACGCTTTCCTTCGCATTGCAATCGCTCGACTGCACTCAAAAGAAATCTAGTGCCGAAACAAAATAAAGAATTACATCGACGGGAAATCGAACCGGGCCGCCCGCGAAGCAGGCGAGCATTCCACCACTGAACCACCGTTGCGCCGGTTGCATGTTTTCTTCACGCTTTCCTTCGCATTGCAATCGTTCGACTGCACTCAAAGAAATCTAGTGCCGAAACAAAATAAGAATTACATCGGCCGGAAATCGACCCGGGCCACCCGCGAAGCAGGCGAGCATTCTACCACTGAACCACCAATGTGCCGGTTGCATGTTTTCATCAAGCTTTCATTCGCATTGCAATCGCTCGAATGCATTCAAAGAAGTCTAGTGCAGAAACAAAATAGGAATTGCATCGGCCGTTAATCGAACACGGGCCGCGAGCATTCTACCACTGAACCACCGATACGCAGGTTGTAAGTTTTCTTCACGCTTTCCTTGGCATTGGAATCGTTCGACTGCACTCAAAGAAATCTAGAGCCGAAACAAAATAAGAATTGCATCGACTGGGAATCGAACATGGGCCACCCGCGTGGCTAGCTAGCATTCTACCATTAACTTCTAACTCATTAACTCTAGCTCTGTGACGTAGACAGACGTCAGAAAATCAAATAGACGGACAGCCACATTTGAATCATACTCGCCCTGTTTGGTGATCTTGGTGTATTTTGAACTGGTTAAGACCTCGAATACTGAAGAGTTTCCGTATTTTTATTTTTCTACATGAAAAAAGTTATTTTGTAAGTTTTTTAAAGTAAATATAAGTTTTTAAAGATAAATATAGTTATAAGACTAAAAAACTCATAATTGATCGATTTTCCGTTTAGTCGAGTGGAACAGAAAAATCTTTAATGTATAGTCACCCCTATGCAAGAATCCTATCATCTTAGAATCGTGACGTTTTCCTGTTTTGATTGTTAAGAATTCTGAATTTTTTGTAAGTTTATAATCAGGATTTTAATACTTGACTTATTGTATTAACTAAAAAAATATATTTAAATGCATTATTTTTTTTTAAGTATAAGCTATAAATAAATGTTTTTCCTAGTAAGGACAAAAAATTTTTTAAAACTGTGTATAATTTAATACTTATGTCTCTCTTGTATTTGTAAAAAAATATATAAAAATAATTTACATTCGTATTGAAATACTAATTACTCATTGCTTTGAATAAAACCCGTGAAATTTAACTCCTTTTATTTGATTTTGAAATAAAAGAACTTTTATTGTTAAAAAACTATGCTCAATCTACACCGTTAATATTTTCGGAAATTATCAACGTTGCAAAAATAGCTGAGTGTGAGTGAATATTCAGCTACATGAGGGCTTTTAGCGGCTGACCTCATAATTTTCAACAATGATCAAGTGACGAGAACGACACCATTGCTCGCATCCTTTTCTACTAACTTCCACATCAAACCAACGGAAGAATGTTTGAGCTTGGAGAGGTATAACGCGCATCACGCCCCTATACGGTGGGTCTTCAGCGGTACTAGGCTTGAACTCTTGACACGTCATCCACCTTGATTTCTAGGCTACCACCGCACTATAAAAAGTTGTGTACCAAAAAAATGTATTATTATCATTAGCGCACACAGGAATTTTTCAAGGGGGGGGTCCAGGGTCGAAAGTCCACCATTCTTGTATCATCCTTTTTTTTGATTTTGTCGATTTTCGGAAACAAAAAACAGTAAAAAACTAATTATTGAATAAATAATTAGCATTAATTAATAAAATTAATCATTAATAACAAATATTTAATTAAATTTTACTTACTATATACTTAGAATTATAATCAATCGGGAAAAAAAATCAAGGGCTTTGGGAGGGGTCTGGACCACAAGGACACCTTATGTGCGCCACTGATTACTATGCATAGTTTTCTCTCGTGAGGAGAATCAAATCGCATGTAGCTACTACAAACACTAGCGTCTCAAATACAATACGGCTGGCAAGGGAAATTTATACTGCGCATGCGTTTGGGCGAGTCTATTCTGAAATGCAGGAGCAACTTTAAGTCATCAAAAGTTGAATTCAGCTCACACGCTCCTGGCGCCATCTATTGTGCGTAAAGTTAGACTGTAAACATCTCTCTTAACTTTATATATCTCCCCTTAATCTTGGATACTTATAAATCAGGTCATAGAGATTTTTATTTTTGGCAGAATAAAGTTTGCAGGTTATCCCTTATTACATATAATCGCTTTAAATGAGATCATTGCAAGGTTTTTAAGACAAATATTTGGTAGATGGTATAGATACTGACAATAACTAGTTTTAATCAAAATATATACAGAGTGCATTATATCAAACTTTATAAGTAAATGATCATGTAAAATATTTCATTTCTTTTGCTGTACTTTTTATTAGAAATTAAAAGTAATCATTTACAAATGCACCTATATAATTATCGCCCTA